ATAGCATGTTACGAAAGGTGAACTTATCCTTTAATGTGTATAATAAAACAGGAAGTAAAAGCTTAGCCAAGGCAAAACAGCAAAGATTTTTTTTTCTTTATTTACATATTATTTAAAGGGAATAATTGATGTTGTGTTAACATTATTTTTCTTTAATATAGCAAAGATAAAAAAAATTTTTTTAATTAAATACAAATTTTAAGGAAAATATTTAATATTGCTTCTAAATTTTTTCATATTTATTTTTCCAGCCAGGAGATGGGATTCTAGGCCCATTTTCACATCTTTACCATGTTCACCTTCTGATAAATCTGAAAACAAATTTTATAAAAAAGGCAACTTAAGTGATCATCATCCCTGCTTCCCCCTCCATGCCTCTTCTGTTTGCACTGTGCATGGTGCAACACTCCATCGTTTAAGGCAGCCTACTCACTTCAAAGGGCTGTTTATGCGCATTCAATGCATAAAAAAGTCCCTGACCCTTTTGTAAAATCACGCCCCTTTGAAGCACCATGCATTTTGGCTCATGTGAAAACACGCAAATGCATAAGGGTGCCATTGGGGGGTGCCATTAGGAATTAATTGTACCAACACACATCTGCTGGCAGCACGTTTCTGTGTGTTTCAGGAAAGCACGTGATTTTGCATGTGTTGCATGAGTGTGAATGTAGCCTTACAGGTAGACAGTCTGAGATCAAACATCTTCTGCTCTGCTCACATTCACACACACACATATATATATATATATATATATATATATATATACAGTATGTATACAGTGCTCAACATAAATGAGTACACCCCTCTTGAAAAATATTTCAATGAATACAAAAAATGTTTCCAAATTTTTACAAGGCTGAGTTGTATAGAACATTTGAACATCTGTTTAGCTCATTACATGAATGTAAGGGTAATAATATAACTTAGATTACAAAATCTTCAGTTTTTTACTTAAATTAGTTGATGCAAAAATGAACACACCCCACAGCAAAAACTACTACATCTAGTATTTTGTATGTCCTCCATGATTTGTAAGGACAACACCAAGTCTTCTAGGCATGGAATGAACAAGTTGGCGACATATTACAACATCTATCTTTTTCCATTCTTCAAGAACAACCTCTTTTAGAGCCTGAATGCTGAATGGAGAGTGATGCTCAACTTCTCTCTTCAGAATTCCTCATAGGAGTTCGATTAAGTTCAGATCAGGAGACATACTTAGCCACTGAATCACTTTCACCCTGTTCTTCTTCAAAAATGCAACAGTGGCCTTTGTTGTGTATTTTGGATCATTGTCATATTGGAAAAGTGCATGTCGACCAAGGGCACGGAGTGATGGTAGCATCTTCTCTTTCAATATAAAGTAGTACATCTGTGAATTCATAATACCATCAATGAAATGCAGCTCCCCGACACCAGCATCACTCATGCAACCCCACAAAAGGACACTACCACCACCATGTTTCACTGTAGGCACCATGCATTTTTCTTTGTACTCCTCACCTCTGCGACGCCATACAGTTTTGAAGCCATCAGTTCCAAAAACATTTATCTTGGTCTCATCACTCCAGAGTACAGAGTCCCAGTCGTCTTCTTCTTATTCAGCACGGGCCCTGGCAAATTCTAGGCGGGATTTTTTGTGCATGGGCTTTAGGAGAGGCTTCCTTCATGGACGATACCCATGCATGCCATTCCTCTGCAGTGTAAGTCATATTTTGTCACCCCAGTTTGGCTTTCTACTTCTTTCGTTAACTGCAGTGAACTTGAATGGCGATTTTTTTTCAACCCTTCTCATCAGAAGATGCTCCTGTCGAGGTGTTAACTTCCGTGGAGATGGTTGCAGTTCCACCTTTGTTAAATGTTTGTATCACTTTTGCTACAGTATTCAGACTGATAAGTAAAAGTGTGCAAAACTACCTCACAACCAGAAGTGCTCACTCCCTTACCGGATCAGAATGATCTCCAATTTATAAGAGATCTAAAACGCATTGGACATCAACTTGAATCATGCCGCATCCTCAACTGAATGTCCAGGTAACAGTGTATCTTGGAGTGACCTTGAGTCAAGATAAAGAAAAGCACAGAGGACACCTTGTTGAGGTACACCTTCTGGGGCATGATGACTTCATAGGCCTCTGGCAGATACTTATATAAAGCCTGAAGAAGGGACATAATGGATCTTTAAATCTTTAATAATTTGAGTTAGCCAACAAGGGACATTACTTAAATTCCAAACTTTCTTCACAGATAGGGCTAGTCAATTTATAGTAACTTTAGAATGCATACAGCACTTAACACTTAATTGAGAGAGTTGAAAAGGAACCTTTTTCTTTTTTGCAGTATTTTGACTATTTTTTTCTGTTCCATTCTATTTTTTCACAACTTCATACACAGAAACTTGGTATGTCTTTTTTTCATGTTAAACATTGAGAAAAAAGGTAAAATTTAAGTTAAAGCAAAGCATGGAATTCAACTAAATGTAAAAAACATTACATAATTTAACTGCATAAATGAAAACTTCTACACTGGAGGCAGCACCATTAGGTGCCAGGGCATACCTTTAATTTTATTCTACATGTCAGCAGAGCTCCACCTATGTAGAAGCCTCTATGATCAAGGCCTGGAAAGGGACGAAACACATCTGAGGAGCTCTCCAAAGTTGGAGAGTATGACCTGAAGCCACCTTTTATCTACTTCACCTATTTTTATGGCCGTGGATAAGGAGTTACCACCAATCCTCCTGTACGGGGCCCAGTCCAGCAGGGGGGGCTCATTACCCATCACTCTCCTTGTGCACCATATATTTCCCCCTGCTGCCTAGCCCCCCCCCCCCTTGTGTGCCCCCACCCCCTGCAATGCTTCCGGCTTCTCTTTTCTTCTTCCCACTGGCAGCTGCAAGCACACAATCAGATCCTGCAGGATGTAGAGTAAGGGAAAAGTCTGGTAAGTATGTCACATTTACCAGACCCTGTCTTTCCTGAATGAACACAATAAGTGATTGGTACTGATTATTCACTGTGTTCATTCAACTAAAGCATAGTGAACTGTTTTTTTAATGGGGGGGCTGTCAGATTGGCATGGTTTCTAACAGCAGCCCTGGCCACAGTGAGATGGCATTTGTGTGCAGACAGGGCCATTTTGTTAAAGACTATTTGCATGGGGTTTATGTATTCTCCCTCTGCTGATGTGGCGTCCTTCTGTACTCCAAAGACATACTGGTAGGTTAATTGGCTCCTTTCCAAACTGACCCTGGTATACATGCGTGTGGGGAATTTAGGTATTGTAAGCTACTTGAGAGCAGCTTTTTTGATGTAAATTGTTGGTGTTGTATAAACACCTGCAATAAATAAATGTGAACTGTCATACCAGCCAAAGAATATTCAATTTTGTTTAGAAAAGTGTGCAATCCATATACTACTGCCGGACAGCAAAGTGAGGCAGGTGACCTCGTTTTTCTTCTCTGCAGTTAAGTGAAATAGCTTGGTCACCTCTCCAGCCCCAACCTGATAATTTGGTCAATAAAAGGCACAACACCACACAGCAGTAAAGTCTGATTGGTTCATACTGTGCCCCTGTATCCCAAACCTGACTCCTGCTCTGCATTTTAAGTACATGACACTAATATATAGATAGATTTAGTTACTTATACTAACTGTATTTACAATTCCAGAATTAGTTTTAATTGGCTTATAATTAAACTCCACTAATACTAAAGCTCCTCCCTCTCCAACTGCAAGGATTAACTCTTGTTTATGTCTAGGAGACAGAAAAGCATTTTTACCTACTTGATCCTCTACTTCCTCCACAGACAGCGCTCCCCCATGCTCTGATGGTGGATTGTTCCTCTGTGTCCTCACATCCCATGTCGGGCTATGGCCTCTACATCGATCTTGGAGGAACTTAGACAGCTGGTGTATGGGGGAGAAGAGGATGCAGGGGCCAGTCTAGCGCACAAAGAAGCCTCCAAGAGATTATTGTTATTATTACATCGAGTTTATATAGCGCCAAAGGGTTTGCTCAGTGCTGTACAATAGAGGGGGGGAACAATACATGAAACAGTACAGCAACTACAAACAGCACATGAGGGGTTAGAGGGCCCTACTCTTTCGAGCTTACAATCTAGGAGGGAGGGGGTAGTGGTACAGGAGGAAGTGGCTGTGGGGGATGGAATGGTAGGAGGAATGAAGGAGAACGGCTGTTAGGTGAGGGTGTGGTAGGCTTCCCTGAAGAGGTGGGTTTTCAGGGAGCGCCTGAAGGTGAGGAGGGAGGGTGACAGTCTGATGGATTGGGGTAGTGAGTTCCAGAGGACCTGGAGAAGTCTTGCATAAAACTGCTTTATCTAGTCCCCCAGACATAAGTGAGCAGTTAACCCTTGTAATGTGGGTGTAGCCCCACTACAAGGGAGAATTTTTAGGTTTCTTGGAGTTCAGCTTTAAACTAAATGGAGGTATTTATCATTTGAGGAGAATTCGCTTTTGATTTCTTAAAATAAAAAAAAAAATACAATACATTTAGGGCTCTAAAATGCTGCATTTTGCTGTGCACAGCATATAGGTTTCTACACATCTTTGCTGCGTACAACAGGAATCAATGGCAGCTGCATCTACAAAACTAAAATGTGCGTACATTTAGCTGCATGCAGACAAAGTAGGACACAACTGTGTCCAGGGTCATACATAGCTGCGGATTTTATGCATGTATACGTTTAAACATGTATACACGTGTGAAACCACACATAAACATGTGTACACAGCAGGGGCGGACTGACAACTCATGGGGCCCCCGGGCAATAGGGGATCATGGGGCCCCTGTGTCCTTGCCCAAACTCAAAAAAGCCTATGAAAAAGGTACCAGGGGCATCTCATGGGGCCCCCTACTGACCCCCCGGCCCTCGGACAGTGCCCGGGTTTCCAAATGGTCAGTCCACCCCTGTATGTGATGATTAGTCAAGCAACAATGTGAAGCGGCTTTAAGAGACTATAGCTGAGAGTGCTGATCACAGAGAGTGGGGGAAGCCTGCAGAAGAATAGTAAGTATTTGTACCTAATTTACTAAATTTAAACTTTAAAGTAGACATTTTGCTGCAAGAGAATGCATAGTGGTTTTCAGTTTATGTTGTGATTTTGTTTAGTTATGCATTATAGTAGGACTAAAAACAATTTAAAAAAAAATTAACCAGAAATGATAATGTCATAGAAAGTAACCAATGTTGCTTACACTTTGTTTTGTTTTGATTCGAAACAGTATATTAGTATTTTAGTCCTCGTGCACATGGGCATATGAATTTATGCTCCAAATATGCTGCCAAAAGTTGGCTGAAAAATGATTCTAATGCCATGTATTTATGCGCATTTACAGGCAGGGGTGGACTGACAACTCATGGGGCCCCCGGGCAACAGGGGATCATGGGGCCCCTGTGTCCTTGCCCAAACTCAAAAAAGCCTATGAAAAAGGTACCAGGGGCATCTCATGGGGCCCCCTACTGACCCCGGGCCCTCGGGCAGTGCCCAAGTTTCCAAATGGTCAGTCCCCCCTGGTACGCAATCACTCATACATTTATTAGAAGAGTTGTTGTCATCTAAATGCTGTATGTGTCTAAATGTGGCTACTTTAGGTGCATAATTTATGCAGGATCTTCTCCCAGCAATAGCCTGTGATCCATGCAGAAAATACTCATATGCCCGTGTGAATGACACCTTTTGCTATAGGTCCACACAAGATGGTGTTCAGCAGAGTTGTTCTTTGACAAAGTCTTTAGCATTCCTCCACTGACATTTACATGAAAATGAGGAATTATGTGCTCCTAAGCCTTGAAATGTATTCCCCTGCTTCCTAGGTTATTTCACGTGTGTTCCCCCAGTATAAAAAAAAAAAGTTTAAATACCAATGTCTTTTGACATTCCTGTCATTCCAGATGTGTACGCCGGGCTGCAGAAGACCCAGTGAACATTCTATTCCTCTTAAAGTTAGTCCACATAAATATTGAACTAATAGATGGAGAGGAAAGCCCCATAGGGTAAGAAACACAGACAAGCTTACACAGCTAATATTGGGCAAGTCTGTATTAGCCAGCGCACATTCTTCATCAAGGGACGGAGTTTTTCTCCACACTACAAGGCATGCAACAAAAACATTCTCACTAATCCACAGGCTTAAAGGCAAACACTATGGTTTCTTAGTAACCATGTAATAAAAAAACGCCGCTAAGCACCCTTTGTATGGCATGTTAATTAGGCATAATTTACAGAAAGCCTTGAGCAATTTGGTTCAGGGCTGAGCAGCTATGGCCCCCTCCCCGTCAGGTAACAGTAACCGACATGATGGTTGTAGGTAGTGCTTGTGTTTTCCTTTGGGAGTTAATTCTGCTAAAAGTATGAACAAGTTAAAGGCTTGCGGTGCGTTTTTTTTTTTTAAAGGGGAACTAAACTCTCCTATCGTTTACAGTCAAGGAAGCGGCCATCTTAGTCTTAGTTTGCTCTTCAGTTGCCATGGTGCTGCATGTGTGATCAGTTATGACACCAGCCATTTGTTGGCTTGACAGTTTGGCAGAAAGCACGAAGAACTGTTATGGTTATCATTCGCGGCATATCTCAAAAGTACTGTAACTGTTTTGGGAAACAGTTCCATTGATAAGTTTAGCTATTAGCCAAAATTCTGGCCACCTGAGTAAAGCAGGTGCTGGGCAGACTGATTTCTAAATACTAAATGTCCAAAGGATCTCACTTTTTTGCATATAGCCAGGTAAAGATGGAGCCCAACAATGGGATAAGAAAGGCTTTTGATTTGCTCAGCTGGGAATGCATATACAGTTGCAAGAAAAAGTATGTGAACCCCTTGGGATTACGTGGTGTTTTGCATGAATTGGGCATAAAATGTGCTCTGAACGTCATCTAAGTCACAACAATCGAAGAACACAGTCTGCTGAACATAATACTACACAAACATTAGATGTTGCCATGGTTTAATTGCACATAACATGTAAACATTCACAGTGCAGGGAGGAAAAAGTATATGAACCTTTGGACTTAATAACTGGTTGACCCTCCTTTGGCAGCAATAACCTCAACCAAACGTTTCCTGTAGTTGCAGATCAGACCTGCACAACAATCTGGAGTCATTTTGGACCACTCCTCTTCACAAAACTGTTTCAGTGTAGCAATATTCTTGGGATGTCTGGTGTGAATCGCTCTCTTAAGGTCATGCCACAGCATTTCAATCGGGTTGAGGTCAGGACTCTGACTGGGCCACTCCAGAAGGCGTATTCTGTGCTGTTGCAGCCATTGTTTTGTTGAATTACTTGTACGCTTTGGGTCATTGTCCTGTTGCATCACCCATCCTCTGCGGAGCTTCAGTTGGCGGACAGATGGTCGTACGTTTTCCTGCAAAATGTCTTGATAAACTCTGGAATTCATTTTCCCATCAATGACAACAATCCGTCCAAGCCCTGAGGCAGCAAAGCAGCCCCAAACCATGATGCTCCCTCCGCCATGTTTTACAGTGGGGATGAGGTTTTGATGTTGGTGTGCTGTGCCTTTTTTTCTCCACACATAGTGTTGTGTGTTCTTCCCAAACAACTCAATCTTGGTTTCATCTGTCCACAGTATATTTTGCCAGTAGTGCTGTGGAACATCCAGGTGCTCTTTTGGAAACTTCAAACGTGCTGCAATATTCTTTTTGGACAGCAATGGCTTCCTCCGTGGTGTCCTCCCATGTACTCCATTCTTGTTTAATGTTTTCCTTATTGTAGATGTGTCAACAAAAATGTTAGCATGTGCCAGAGATTTCTGTAGGTCTTTAGCTGACACTCTGGGATTCTTCTTTACCTCATGCAGCATTCTGCGCTGTGCTCTTGCAGTCATTTTTACACGACGACCACGCCTAGGGAGAGTAGCAACAGTGCTAAACTTTCTCCATTTGTAGACAGTCTGTCTTACCATGGACACATGAACATCAAGGCTTTTGGAGATACTTTTGTAACCCTTTCCAGCTTCATGCAAGCCAACAATTCTTGATCGTAGGTCTTCTGAGAGCTCTTTTCTGCGAGGCATGGTTCACATCAGACAGTGCTTCTTGAAACCAGTAAACACAAAACAGGTGTGTGTTTTTTAAGGGCAGGACAGCTGTCAGCAACACATCCAATATCATCACACTGATTGGAGTCAAGGTTGGCTCACTCCTGGCTCCAATTAGCTCTGGGAAAAGTCATTAAGCTAGGGCCTCACATACTTTTTCCTCCCTGCACAGTGAATGTTTACATGTTATGTTCAATTAAACCATGGCAACATCTAATGTTTGTGTAGTATTATGTTCAGCAGACTGTGTTCTTCTATTGTTGTGACTTAGATGACGTTCAGAGCACATTTTATGCCCAATTCATGCAAAACTCCACGTAATCCCAAGGGGTTCACATACTTTTTCTTGCAACTGTATTTTGTTCTGCAACGTTGGGGATTTGGTCCCCGCTTACTCAGTTATATAGTTCTCCATCTGCATATAAAGTATCTGCTACTCTGACTTAAGGTTGGAAGAATTTGCAGTTGATAGAGTCACAAGACAAGGCAATCGACTTTCTCCACTATTGTTCGTTCTCGCGATTGAACCTCGGGTCAGGGATTGAGGCTATTGATTGGCTATTATTACAAAATGTGTCTATTTGCAAATGATGCTTTAATGATACTAACTAACCCACTGATCTCTCTTCCCAACCTTGAATCTCTCTCCTCAACCTTGAATCGTTTGATGATGCTATTACTGAAATTTTTATATTTTGCTCGGGTTTTACATGTCTCCAATACCATCTTATCGGCTTCATGCTTTGCAGCAGCATATTCTGCTATACATTTGGAAAGGTCCCCCATGTGGCTAAGACTATTCTATATAGATCTAAATTTAATGACAGCCAGGGTCTCCCTCTCTTGTGATGATATTATCAAGCGGCGCAACACAGCTGGCTTATTGGCAAGTCCCTAGCAGGGTCCTCTTGTGGGTTTCTCTGGAGAGTAGGGACCAGTGTGTCCAATTGCAAAACATTCTTGGAGAGTGTGGGATAACTTAAAAGTCAAACACAAACTGGTTTCTCCTCATACACCCTTGCTCTCCATACTTGGCAAACCCACCTTTCCACCAGGTTTTACCTCCCATTTGTACTTCATAAATGGCTTAGGCATGGGCTATACTTGATCACCCACTCCCTGCACAATTTTGGTATGCTTCCTTTTGAAACTCTTATGGACAGATGTAAACTTGACACTAGAGACGTCTTCCAATATCTGCAAATCAAGCACTTTTTGCAATAACGTACCCAAAACACTACTGACCTTACCTCTATCTCCGCTTTTGAAGGTGCTTACCTGAATAAACCACAAAGACCTGGCCTTACCTTATTTTATTGGTGTACTCATTACCATCTGCTTTGACAATGCATAACCCCCCCCCCCCATGTTGCTAAGTGAGATAACAAGTTAGGCAATCATACATTGAAGGAAGACTGGTCCTGAATGTGGACAAATACAGCCAAAACTACTGCTTTGGTGGTACTTTTTCCATTAACAGCCTCACAGGCAATTCCAACTCTTCACAGTGCTTTCAAGGATGCCATGTCGATGGTTCCTTCAAACACATTTGGTTGGACCATCCAAAAGTGAGAAGATTCTTGATTAGGGTCTACCAAATGCTCTATATGGTTATAGGTGAATCCTTTTATAAGGATCCTTATGAAGCCCCCTTCAAGCAACAGCCAGAGGAATGCACCACTGCTCAATTAAGTCTTTTCACACATATGAAAGAGTGGAAGACCCTGACTGTCCCTTAGCTGAAGTCAAGCACCGAGTTTCATATGTAATGGTTATTTAAAAAAAGGACTGCTAGACAAAATGAAAAGATTTCTAAATTTCAAGGGAACTGTTAACTGCATCTTACGTGCTGACCACTTTTGATTAAGAATCTCTGTTCCTGTAGTAGATGGAAGCATGAGGTGCGTGGGTTCTGGGCAAGGTCTCACCCCACCTTTTTTTACATTTCCTTCTTTTACCCACCCCCTTTTTTCCCTCCCCCTGTTTCTTTTAAGCCCTTGTTGGGGTAAGGGGGCCTCGGATTTGG